ACCCGTTTCACAATACTTAAATAATTTTATTTATCGTTTAAGTTTGACTACTCATATTTTATAAATAAAATTATAACTATTTAAAAGTATATCAGTAAAGTATGTTATATAAATATAAACATATAAATCCCTTTCACCATAATTAAACGGTCTAAAGATACTAGCGGTGAAACCAGAGTAATTGGTAGTCAAAATTAAGAGTGAAGTGCACGAGGTGATTCCTAGACTTGTGTGAATATGTCACCTATGTTTTTGAACCATCAAAATACATTTTTAGGTCTATGAATTTATCTTGGGTGTTATATAGGTTCAGACATATTTCAACCCGCTTCGTATGCTGACGTGGCATGTCATAGTGATGCCTATGTGTCACTAGAATCCACATGCCAGTCGTATAAAAAAAGTAAATTAAGAGAGAGAGAGAGGAGAAAATGATGTTTTTAAATTTTGAAAAATTAAAATTAAAAAAAGAGAGGGGAGAAAAAAATATTTTCAAAGGCGTTACCATATCATGCCACGTCATCGTGTGGAGCGGCTTGGAGCCGTTTGGACTTATATGATACCCATGACAATTTCGTAGACCCGAAAATATATTTTGAGAACCAACAATTTATATGACACACCCGCGACTACCGTTACACTTTACTCCAAAATAAAATATTATAAATCAGAAAGGAGCATATTTCTTGCACTTTTTCCCTCGTGCAACAATGTTGTCCTATTATTTCACCAACATTTATGACAGTGTCAAATGTTTACAACTTTAGATTTATAAGTGAGATATAGGACTGCAAATTCGAGTTTGGTTTTAAAATTGGGCGACGACCTATCTTCTCTACTGGTTTTGACTTTGGTACCTATAGCAAAGGTTGGAGCAGGACAAGGACTATAGATTATGCAGATCTTGTCAAACACGGATGGAGATGTATTGCCATTTCTGTGTTTAGGTTGGTGTTCTAGTTAGTTATCATATTTTCCATCAAATTATATTTTTCAATTTACAGACGTTTTGAAGTAGTTTCTTCGAAACAAAGCAATTTTCCATTATCTAAAAAAATAATTGCAATTTTCTACAAAAATAAGCTAAAGAAATGGGTAACTTATAGAAAATCCAGGTTTTACAATGAAAGTTGCTAAAACTCTTAGGTATCAAACACATGTGCATATAACCTCAAGTTTTACAATCGCTCTAATTAATGTTTTCTTCTGCAAAAAACAACTATCATTCAAACTCAAACAACAACATATCGGACACCCATTTACTCTTTTTTTATGCCACAACATTTATGTTGCTCTATTCAACTATTTTGTTATTTCAAACAATATTGTTTCAAAAATGCTAGGATTCTGTTTTGCAAATCCTTATAACCATAATATGTTTATTTAACACTAGCGATGACACGTATTTGGTAACTTTGACAACAATATTTAGAACTTTCTGAAAATTTCTTTAAGAACATGTGATGGAATGGGGCCTTGTTGGGACATTGAAGAAGTTCCTTTTTTTTTAAAAAAAAAAGTACATTATCATTAATTTGACTGCGGGACCCTACATGCTATGGTGATATTAAAATAGAAAAAGAAAATGTTTTTAAAGGAGCTTGAATACTCCATAGGTTTGAACTTTGAAGAGCATAAGGTCCATCCAAGAATTCCTCCATGCATGGGGTCTGAGCTCATGTAAGAATCTCTCTAAATTTTATTGGAATTATCATAAAGGTATTTCTTTGTTCCAAAGTCATAACTGGAACTTTTAGGTCACCATTCCTTACAATGAAGGTCAAGAGTCCAGATCCTTTATATTTATAGACAGAGATAATATAATGCAGAGACTATCTAATTATAGTACTGTACGTATGTAACTATTTCGAGGACAAATTAAAGGCCGTAAATCGGGAATAGTCATGTTATAAGGTCTGATGGAGCACACCTGATCAGATGCTTAGCTCTATCCAAATTGTTTCCCTTATATTTAATTGTTGGATTAAGGATATTTGATTTAGAGTCGAAAAAATATGGGTAATTAATTGTTTTGTGAAGTTTGATTTCCAGCACTTTCCTATCCTGCTCACGTTTTCGTGTCTCACGTTACTCTGAAAGAGAAACTCTTGTCCTTTCTATCAATAAATGATCGGATAACACACTAAACATCCACCTGTAACTGTTATTGCACGGTGTTTCCTTTTTTTTTTCGCTCAAGTGTGCCAATTAAACATGAGTGGATTTCTTGCAACCACAATTATGTAAATCGCTCCTCCGTCCTCACCATTTCTTTTCCTAGGATCTGACTAAGCATCGCCCTTAAAATTGAAATTTGATTATGAATGGCTCTAAATGCATACCGTATGATCTAAAAGCATTTTTTCCAGTATATAGAAAACACACATGCATCATAAAATATATCCCTTAACACACGCTCAAACGCTGATGCTAACCATAATCCATAATCCCTAATCTAAGTAAGGCCCTGTGTGATTCAGTTTAAGATGATTATAATCTATATTATTAGAAGTAAGTTAGCTGAAACAAATGAGTAGATTATTATGATAAATTATTATAATGTATAAACTAGATTAGTATAATCTAATAATCTCATCTGGATGAGCTTTTTTTAGATTATTGGGTGGCTAAAGACCTACTACCCTTAGATGCCTCAAATAATCCAGAGAAACAAACAATTTGTAGCTTATTTTATGTCAGCTTATTATAATTCAGCTTAGAGTAATTTGAATTTATATTACAATAATCTTAAAACTGAAATAAACATAGCCTAAATCACTTGAAAGCGTGTCTATATAAAAAATATTTTGCTAACCTCTCACTAAATCGCTATTGACAGTATACTCATTTTTGTATGATATTTTAGACATAATGACTATGGGTAGAGTGTTGCATCCACAACTCCATCACCATATCTTGTGTGTTTCTAATTGTGTTGCAAAATTAGTGTGGGAAATAACAACTAATTACATCTCAAGCATGATTTGAGATGGTGCAGGAATATCAAATCTGATCTCTTTCATTACTTGGTTAGAAATTAAAAACAAAAACAGATTACATGAAGAGATTAAATACAAAAATATTATTATGAAGAATAAGAAAAAATGTTATAAATTATAAAGACATTAACAATCATCTCGACAAAATAAATTTGGAGTAAGAATTGCACAAACTACATACAGTTGTACCAGTTCAGATCCACACTCAAAGTGCAAAATCATATTTCGATTCCATCAAAGATGGATTAACAAATAACAAAGACTTGATGATATATCCGAGCAGCCAGGCAATGCTTATTTGTCGGATATGTATCTTGAGGAATATATCCGGTAGTATCTGCAATTGGAACCTTCTTTTTCTTGAAGAAAAATTTCAATTGAGAACTTCCTACACACGGCATCTACCAAAACCATAATCTGTTTTTTTTTCTGATGGGCCATTATCCGTGTTTGATTGTTTTCAAGTCAACGAAGATAAACATCATAATCTTTCAACTTGATCGAATAAACTGCATAAACCAAAACATTTTTTCCATAGAAACTACTAGTACCTACGAATCATTATTAAAAAAAAAGATTCAAATCCAAACTACACATGTACAAGACACAAAATTACTCCCTCCCTCCAAAAATATAATTACTTTCAACATTCAAATTTTGTTCTAAAATATAATTAACTCTTCGCTTAAATCTTTATCTGAAACAATCACAACCATCTTTTGATTTCATCCATCTTATTAATTTCCGTGAAAAACATAAGAAATGTGCATGAATCGTTATGGGAAAAAAAAAGGTTGAGATCTACTCCTAGCTAAACACAAGACAAGCAGCTGCGGAAGAGGCAGTCAAAGACGTTATCATCATCATTATTATTCTTGTTACCGTTCATTGGCTTCTCTGATGTGTTTTACTGCGTCGTACTTAGTAGTAGTAACCCTTAACCTTGGGGCTAAAATTAGCCGCATGAGATCCGGGGCGAGTGCGTGGACCGCCAGGTGGGGCCCACTGGCCGGTGACGTGTGCCTCCCCTTCCCTTCGCTTGGCGATGCGATGAGATGGAGATGGGGATGGAGATGGGGTCCTCCTCTGACCGAGGCTCGCGCCTCCCGATTCTCCCTCTTCCATCCCAACTACCTACCCACACGCACACCCCCTTCCATTTCTTCATCTCTCTCTCTCTCTCACTTAAATAATCTTTTTACAAATTACTAACTTTTTTTCTTACCAAAACCCTAAATTAGTTTTTCTTACAATGGACAGCTTTTGGCATTGGCAGTGCCAAAATGATCATCTTTCCAAAATGATCATCTTTCTCAGGCAGTCCTGATTCTCACTGAGATTTTAAGAATATTTATTTATAGAATTAAAAATAAATTAGAAGAAGAAGCTAAAAAAACCAACTTTTGTAAAAAACAAAATGGGAACAGGGCTAGACCTTTTCCAAATCATGGACTTCCTTGAACACAATAATTTCGCATGATTTTTTATAGGATTCATCTCATCCACAATGTCTATAAAATTTCTTTGTTCGAAAGGAGGCAAATTTCACGTGCATGGGTTGAACCTAGCATCTTTGTGTGGTAGACATTCTTAAATATTTATATATTTAGAATGGCTAGGTCTTCTCTCTAGATTTCATAGAAAAAAAATTCAAAAATGAAATAGTTTGCCACTAAAAATGATATCATTATTTCAAGGTGCTATATGAATAAAATCATTCTTATCTTGCGAATATATCACAATACAATTTACAAATAACTCGTTCTAAATTTAATTTATAAAAAAACTGTATCTGCCGCGTGTTAAAAAGTCGCCGGCACTCTTCCAACATTACTAATTGTTTGCCACACAAAAAAAATTGGTTTATCATTAAAATCAAATCAAGATTATTCAATTTATTTTTTTCATAATTTAAATAAAAATGTTTTTTCATAATTTAAATGAAAAAATAAATTTAAAATTCATTAGAAAGAAAAACCCAACTATTTATATAGCCAACGCTCCTGTGAAAGCGATCGCCGGTCTCACATCTCCCTTGTTCACTGTTTCTCCTTCACCATTCGCCTCCTCCTCCTCTCGAGGGAGAGAAGAAAAAAGCTAACGCCGCCGCAAGAATCCAAGAAGGAGAAGAGAGAGAATTTGATCTCTTCCTCTCCTTCCCCGAGGCTCTGAGGCGAGGTAGGTTGTCGCGGGATCAATAATGGTGGCCATCGAGGCGGCGGCGGCGGCGGCGGCGGCGGAGAGGGGCCCGATCCGGGCGGTGGCGGAGGCGGAGGCGGAGGCGGAGGCGAAGGTGGTGGATGTGGAGGGGAAGGAGGAGGAGGAGGAGGCGGCCAAGGTGGAGGAGGAGGAGGAGGAGGAGAGGGAGTACAAGAGCGACATGAGGAAGCTGGAGGAGCTCATGTCCAAGCTGAACCCGCGCGCGCAGGAGTTCGTGCCATCGTCGCGCCGCGCGCCGCCGGCGGCGGCGGCGCAGGCGGCGGGCGGGCTGTCCGCCGACGCGCCGGTGTTCGTCTCCGCCGCCGAGTACTTCGGCGGGGCCGGCGCCGGAGCCGGGCAGCTGCAGGTGGGCGGCGGCGGCGGGAGGGACTCCAGCAGCGACGGATCCAGCAACGGCGGCGGGCAGCCGCAGAATCGCCGGGTCGGTGAGCTGAACGAGATTGTTGTTTTGGTCGCCTCTGCAGCTACGCGGATTGATTTGACCGGATATGGTTTGACCTTTTTTGCATTGAGTTCGTGATCGCGTGAGGATTTGGTGATTTACGCATTGCGATCGCCTAGAATGACGGGGTTTTAGGCCACGGTGATCATTTTTGTTCCTTCTTTTGTTTGTCTTCTTTTGCAAGATTCTTTTCTCCTTTTGTCTTGTTTTTTTTTTCAAAAATTTTGTGTTAAAATCGCAGTCTTTGAGCGTCAAATAAAAAGGATCTTTTTGCCAGTCTTGAAAAAAGAACAAAAAATTCAAGGACATAATCGATCGGATCGTGTTACTTTGATTTCAGATGTTTGATCGGTAGTAATCAGGAGGCTAGGGAGTGTTTAATGATCTGTTGTGGTTGTACACTGGTTGATGAGGATTTGATTTGTGTATTTATTTTTTGATGTGATATGAGCACTGTGCTTGATGTCTACTAGGATTGGTTTTTGTGGACCTACATTTTTCGGCTGTTGATTCTCAGAACAAACACAAGTGTACTGATAATTGTGTGCATATTGAATTATTGATTGATTGACTCTGGTGGTGCTATGCTTTCATGATCAATTGACCCTGGCTTGGTTGTAACAGAGAAGGAGTGGATTCAACCAGGGAAGGAGGAGGACGGGAGGCCGGACACGACGCGCCGATAGGGAGGATAGTGTGCGGAGGACCGTCTATGTCTCTGACATTGATCAGCAAGTGAGCAATCTAAAGAGAGTGGTGTATTTGAAGTGTGTTGTTTTTGTATATTTTGCTGTCTGATCATCTTTTTGTTTCCTCTCTAGGTGACTGAACAGAAGCTTGCCGAAGTGTTTTCTAACTGTGGACAAGTAAGTTATGATATTCTTGAGGAGACATGTTACTTTATGTTACTCCCTTGATAATGTGATTTCTTATGCTCGTAATGGTGTGCCTTCCATTTTCATGTGAAACATAACGGATAAAATTGTTATCTGCCCTCTTGGTTTCAGATTTTATGGTTTGCTTGGCACGGTCTTTAAAATAAGTTACTTGACTGCAAACTGATAAATAGCTGCCTTTACCGATTGGCATTCCTGTGGCAAAGTATAAGCTTGTGCTACAATTGAATTCCTCTGCACCATCTGTTTTGAGACGTGAATTGATGCAACCACGAAGATAACTGTTATTTTGAATTATGTGTTTTGTCTCTGTAGTATTTTTGGAAGGTGAAATTAAAACATTTGATGATTCAGTAGTAATTACTTTTTAGTTTGGAGTCCCTGGTTAGCACCTTCTTTTAGAGTGCAAAGATGAATGTCGAATTTCAACATATAGAGGTTCCCTGTTTGTATAACTAAATGGAGGCATAGCAGAGTGCTGACACATCATATTTACAATGTTCGCATGTGAAAGGTTAATCTGCTGTTTGTCAATGGTTATTTATCTTTATGACTACAAAAATGATACATGTATTACTGCAAGAATGTTATAACACCAACTGAATCGGAGTCATCTATGACTATATGACTAAAAGAACAAGTCTTTCAAAACAAATTCATATCTTTTTTGGACTATAATGTATGTTACTTTTTTATCTGTTAATGATATCAGGTAAACACCTTTCTGTCTATGGATCCAATTGACTATTGGATGGATAACTTACACTCATATTTCTTTACCTGTAGGTGGTAGATTGCCGTATCTGTGGTGATCCACACTCAGTCTTGCGTTTTGCTTTCATTGAATTTGCTGATGATGGTAACACCTTCACAACTATTGTTTATTTTGTGTATAGATAAACAGCAATCATAAAGTTATCCTTTCTTGTGTGCAGCCGGTGCAAGGGCCGCACTAACACTAGGAGGAACCATGCTTGGTTACTACCCTGTTAGAGTTTTGCCTTCCAAAACAGCTATTCTGCCTGTGAATCCTAAATTTCTTCCTCGGGTATGATAATTATTGGATCACATAGTTCAAGTCTACCTGTAGAGCTTACTACCGGCATTTCCTTTTACACATCAACAACATGTAATGCTCTTTTCTGTACAGACGGAAGATGAAAAAGAGATGGTCTCAAGGACTGTATATTGTACTAACATAGATAAGAAGGTACGTGAGTTTATATGCATGTCATTTTGATAATCCTTAAGGACCCTTAACATGTTAGATCTTGAAATTTAGAGTATAGTGTTACATTGTGCTGTGCTGTACCTGTTCAACAGAATTTTGATCTTGGTCGTTTGTGTTTAATCCAATGAACATTCTAAATGATATATGCGGTTCAATAAATCCTACTTAAGCAACATCATCTGCTTAAATATTCTAAAATGAGCTGAGGCTGATATACATGTTTCTAACATGTTGATTCTTGATATTTTCTCTGCTGAAATTCTGCACTAGTTTTAATGACTATTATTTCGCGCCGTTGTTAACACATGAACATTGCAAGCAATGGACCCATGATTTAATGCATAACTTTTACTCCCACATTGAATTGAGGTCTTGTTTGTTATGGAATAATATAGTATGTACTTCTGTACTATTTTAGATGCCGTTATTCTTTACTCATCTGTCCTTTCCCCTAAAGTCTTTATGTGTGCCCAGTGAATATATTGATTTTGAAGTGATACCAAGTGTCTTCAAGACAGATACTTAAGTATGTAGATATTCAGAAAAGGGTAGTGTGATATTTTTTTTTTCTTTCAGTGCCTAATTGCCAGATTTCATGATAATATGGGGTCTCAGGCTCATCACATTGTTTTTTAGATTATTTTTTTCAAAAAAGAACTAATCATATGATTTTCTTTTCCCTGTGGTACAGTAATATTGACCTGCGACTGAGTTTGTGTATGTTCTATTCTCCAAGAGTCAAGCTGCTTAACATAATTGTCTTCCTAACTGTGCAGGTTACAGAAGAAGATGTAAAGATTTTCTTTCAGCAGCTTTGTGGGAAGGTGTGCCACATAAGTACATAAAACTTGCTTTTCTCTTTCCTTTAGACCTTCTGCTGAAACTAACAGTACCTTGCACTGTTCTGTCAGGTTTCTCGGCTGAGGCTCCTTGGTGATTATGTGCACTCGACGTGCATTGCATTTGTTGAGTTTGCTCAAGTAAGTAGAGCAAGGTTTCTCAGTGCTATAATTTTGTAGTACTATACTCATAAAGTGCATTCCAACCCATGACTTGGTAATTGTTCAGTGTGTTTGAAACGCCGATTCGAATGTTATTGTTTTGCAGGCAGAAAGCGCCATTCTAGCCCTGAACTATAGTGGAATGGTTCTTGGCACACTTCCTATCAGGTAAAGAGTAAATCCAATGTTTTGAAGTTGATGCAGGAGCATCATGAAGAATCATTATTTGCTTAGCCCCATCCATTCTCCATTGTTGCAGGGTGAGCCCTTCCAAGACACCCGTGCGTCCGCGGTCGCCTCGCGTGATGTCAAACTGAGTCCGGGTTGTTCCTGAAGCTTGAGGCTGTCACCAATGGCAGGCAGAGCTTGAAACTCTAGTCATGGCGTTTAGAAATGCTGTCGCTTCGCGGAATCGGTAACTGCCGTTTCTGAGAGTATCATCTCATCATCTCTTAGGTCCAAGTAGAAGGCCGACCTGCTGATGTTCGTCTGTTCAGAGACCCATCTGTAGGTTGGGAGAGGCTACATTTTCGTTTCTTTTGTTCAGTATGCTATGTTCAGTATCCTATAACAGCCTTTGCAGGCAATTCCGACAATAATATCTACGTATTTTCTGTCTCATTCACACTGTTCATGTGAATATGTGATAGTTGAAATTCCATATCTGACGGTGAACTTAGGGTTTTATTTTTCATTACTAGTGAAATTGAAATGATTAATGTGAAAATTCCTCAAAAAATTTATGGGCCCTTTCCTTTGGATCGAAAGAAATTCAAGGGAATTTTAAGGATGATAACCCTTGATTTTTTTTCTTAAATGCGATGTTTGGAACAAAGAATTTTAGCAAGTCAAATTCCCTATCCTATGCATCGAGAATTTTACCGTGACCTCAAGCTCCATTTTATTTTTCGTTTGAGGAATCCAATGCGTCTTTTAATCTCTTTCTCTCTCTTAATTCCATCAAATTTCTATGGTTATATTCCTATAAACTACCCAAACGCAATGCCCCAAAATTCTTGTGTTTTGAACTCTAGCTGGGTTTGCGCATGTTTGATATTCTAATCCTGTGTTTTTCGTATTGTTCAAATCTTGCGTTCCAAACGTGCCCTTGATCGTTATTTTTGTCTTCAAGTTCTCGTTTTGTGCTTGACGTGTTCTTGCTGACCTAGCTGCTTATGTCAAAATGGATATGATATGTGGAGCACAATTTTGCTTTTACGAGCCACCTACCTGTATAAAACTTGTAAGTTCACCAAAAAGAAAAAAAATCGGAAATATGATGCTGTCATTGCTACGCGTGCGAGTATCGTGCGTGATTTGTACGCTTGATCGGTCGTCATCGTCGAAAACGGGACATGGTGACCGCTACTAGTCGGGTCCACGTGCCAAGTTCTCCAGATGACAAAAATGTTTCTGGTTTTTGTTCCTGACGCGCGTGCACAGATCGACGTCGACATGCGACAGATCTTTTAAGGGGATATGGACGTATATTCGAAGTATTAAATATAGTCTAATAACAAAATAAATTACATAATCCGTTTGTAAACTGTAAGATGAATTTATTAAGCCTAATTAATTTATCATCAGCAAATGTTTACTGTAGCATCGCATTGTCAAAACATGGAGTAATTAGGCTTAAAATATTCGTCTCGCAAATTAGTCGCAATGCGATTAGTTATTTTTTAACTTATATTTAATACTTCATGCGATTAGTTTAATGTGACAGTGTAAAAAATTTTAAGGTGAGATTTAAACAGGGGCTAAAAGTTTTCTTTTTCAAATCTGAAAACGAAATGACTCAATAGGTAAACAGTGTTTTGAACAGTAAAGATACGATTTTGCTAGATCTTTCTCAACAGATTTTCACCCCCAATATTTGTCGTTTTTCTATCCGTAGGATTTGCGCCATGATTCGTGCATTTCCCTGTGTGGATGAGACCGTGTGGCCTGTGAGCAGATGGCCTGGGAGTCAATGTGGGCCAACCCATGTTAAATTTTGGATTCCGCGCTATTATGTCCGTAACCGTTGGTTGTTTCCTCGCTCTCTTTCTTTATTCTCGCTCTTTCTCTACATCTCTTTCTCCTCTTTCTTTTCTCTTCTCGTTTTCTCCGTCGAGAGAGAGAGCTCGCCGGCGAGAGAGAGCACGAGCAGCTCCCCAGCGGGAGAGAGAGAGCGCGCGCGCTCGCTAGGGGAGACAACTCGAGAGAGAGTGTTTTTTGAGTTTCTTCCCTGATTTGCTGGCATCATTAGCTTGTGTTTTGGTTTTTTCAATGTCAATAGGGCTAGGTTTAGAAGATTCGGGTCAATACATGACGATTTTTTTTGCTCCCAACATATGGATCTGATTCAGAATCACTTGTTTTAGTTTTGGAATCCGTTTAGGTTTTGGATTCCCTAAGTTTTTAGTTATAGTTTGATTCAGTTCAGTCTAGGGTGTTTTGTTACTAGTCCATTGTTTGCAAACGACCAGATTCGATGGTGTTCTATGTTTTTTTTTCTAATCCACGAGGGTTTTTGTATTTTTGGTTTGATTTTTCTTTAGGGGTGTTCATGTTGGGGGTTGGATTCAGGGGTATTTGATGGAGTTAAAGGTTTAATTCGAGGTGGATTTAGGGGTTTTTTCTAATCACCCAGATAGTTGATCATTTTTTGGATCCCTGCATGAATTTTCTTCAGGGAGGGGGTCAGATTCATGAGTTGATTATTTTTGCTTTGATTTATGTGTGATTTGAATATAGTAGGGAAGCATCATTGCAACTTTATCTGAATGTTGCATTTCACTTTCAGTGATTAGTTGACTGATCTGTTAAACTCCTTGCATGAGTCTGAATTTTTCTGCATGTGAAGCATTTCGTTTCAGAGATGATTTATCTGTCAACTCCCTGCATATATCTGAATTCTTATGCATCTGAAGAATTTTGTTTTACATATGCATGCTAACTGAACCCCAAGTATGTTTTGTGTTACCTTCTGCAGCATATGAATCATTTCGTTTCAGAGATGTACGGTTTGATTTCCCAGTATGCTGAGTTGCTTGGTTAAATTAAACCCAAACCCCTACATGCGTTCTGCTTTCTTCAGATTGTATTCTACAGTACTATTTGGTTTATAAAATTCCTGTACATGTTCTGAACTTTTCAGTGCTGATCTAAATGAGTTAGCAGCAAGCCAATACCTGAACTTGGTCCCTGTTGCTTTGAGAAATTATGGGCTATTGGTTGCATCTGCTCTTTCTTCTCTTCTGAACTTTTGTTCATTGTCAATCGCTCGTAAATCGTAAATCTGTTTGAATTGGCGCTATTTCTGAACTTGGGAACATAATTGGCACTATTTCTGAATTGGGAACAGGGGATAGCACGCTCGTAAATCTATTTGAATTGTCAGTATTTTTTGAATCTTGGAGCAGGCATGAGCTTTCAGTCGACATGAGCTTTTTAAAATCTCATACTTCAGCAAACTGAAAAATAATTTGGAGGGTTTCAGTCTAATGTTGATCTAATGCATTTCAATGGTAGCAAAACCAAGGTCACTTGGGTGCCTGGAGGTATTCACATGCCTGAAATATCTGTATGATTTTTTTTCTTCTTTATTCTGAATGACCCATCGTCCCATCCCAATATTGTTCCCATGTTAATTATGTGTGGAGCTTGTTAGTCAGTTAACTCATTTGCTGTGAAATTTAATCGGGAGGCTCAACAACAACACCCTGGCTGGTCCATTCCCTTCTGGTCCATTCCCTTCTGCATCAGCTAACTTGTCACATCTTGTTGTCGAGTGATTTTAATATATGTGCACAGAAGTTTGAGATATGTGCAAATTATGTACAAAATTTAATATATGGGCAAATTTGTACACAACTGGAGATATGACCGTTTGGACCACAATGCTCTGTTTTTTTTATCCTAGGCTCTAATCTAATTGTTGTGCTTTGTTAAACACCACTGTCTGAAGATGATTTTCACTTGAGGAAAATCTTCAGTCCATTGTGACAAAGTGACTCCTTTTCTGAAGAAATTCTTTATTTTTTGAAGAAATTCAAGCATGCTTGCAGTTTTAGCCCAGTTACAGTCTATATGTATTGTAGTTACATATGTAACTTTTGTTATTTCTCACTGTAACTAACTATAGATATATAGTCCTTGAAAATTTATCAACGCTACAATCTCTAATTTGTTGTATATAATTTTATGCTAGATTATATTGTCTGCCAAGATCATTTTATGGTGCATAATGCTAGGTGAGCATGATAACTGACCTTTCAATGTTTTCTTGCTTCTTATTTCTCTGGACAAAATTTTGTCACTTTCATATCTCTCCGATTGCATATCCCCTGATTTTTCAGACTGTAACCCATCAGACCCTGCATGTTTATATTATTTGTAACATAATTTAGAACTTGTTATAATAGGGGAAAATATTTAATGCTGCTGCATGAGTACTGAATTTTTTTTGAAGAAATTCAAGCATGAAAGCTGTTATAGCCTAGTTACAGTTCAGATGTAATGTAGTTACATATGTAACTTTTCTTATTTCTCACTGTAACTGACTATAGATAGATAGGTCTTTAGATTTTTCAAAGCCGCCATCTCTAATATATGTGCTAGATTAAATTGTCTGTCAAGGTCAAATATGGACCATAATGCTAGGTTATCATGATTATGACCTTTAGTTGTCTTCTTGCTTCTTTTTTCATCAGACGAAATTAATGTTATCTCTTTCAGATCTCTCTGATTATGTATCCACTGTTACTTGAGATCGAATTGTAACAGAACCTGCATAGATAGGTTATTTGTAATATAATTTAGATAATGTATATTAGACAAAATTTTTTTGAAGAAATTCAAGCATGATTGTAGTTACATCCCAGTTACAGTCAATATGTACTGTAGTTACATATGTAACTTCTGTTACTTCTCACTGTAACTGGAGATAGATAGTTTTTCAAAAAAAAAAATCATGCTTTCATGTATACAAAATTGTGCTAGATTTTATGACTGACAAGATCAAATTTGGTGCATAATGCTATCTGTCCATTGTTCTGACCTTCAAGTGTCTTCTTGCTTATTAATTTTTCTGAGAAAATTTTGTCACTTTGACATCTATTTGACTCTGTATTCACTGTTGCTTGAGCTTCTAATCTATCAGGCGTTGCATGTTTCAATCATTTGTAGTACAATTTAGAACAAGTCATAATAGTAAAAAAATGTTAATGCTGTTGCATGAGTACTGAATTTTTTGAAGAAATTCAAGCATGATTGCAGTTAAAGCCCAGTTACAGTCAATATGTACTGTAGTTACATATGTAATTTCTGTTATTTCTCACTGTAACTGGATATAGATATATAGTTCTTTAAAAATTTATCATGCTACTATCTCTAATTTGTTGTATATAAATTTTTGCTAGATGACATTTTCTGACAAGATAAAAAATGGTCCATAATGCTAGGTGAGAATGATTCTCACCTTTAACTGTCTTCTTGCTTCTCATTTCTTCAGACACAATTTTGCTTCTCATTTCATATCCATCTGATTGTGTATCTCCTGATTTTTGAGATTGCAATATACCTGACCCTACATGATTAGGTTATTTGTAATATAATTTAGAACATTTTGTCATAGGCAAAAAAAAAGTTAGTGCATGAGTACTGAATTTTTTTAAAAAAAAATCAAAGGATGATTCCAGTTATAACCCAGTTACTGTTCAAATGTACTGTAGTT